GGGGCATGGCCTGTATGATGGCCGCTTTCTCGGTTGGCACTGCCTTGGTGAGTGAGCGCATCCTACGTCCCCGGGGCTTAGTCCCGTTTCCCAATAGAGCAAGAAACACAAAGACCCGCAGTCTCACCTCGACACCTGCCCCTGGGTCCCCGAGGAGGTGCCCGTCTCCCATCGCCCACGTCCTGGCCACCTGGCACTGCGGGATGCTCTTTGCACCGGCGGAGGACGGCCGGAAGGTGGAGGGGCCAGGAGTGGGCGGAACGGCCTTGACCTCGTCTCCTCTGGCGGAGGGGCCTGGGGCCTGGGGACCTGGAGCGTCCTGCGGAGGGCAGGGCGGCAGCGGGGCCTGAGAGGGTCCCGTCCCCTGCGGGCGCGCGCGGCCCGCGCTCCCGGAGCCGGCACTTCTCGCTCCACCCTCTGGAGCGCCGGGCAGGATCTGGGGGAACAAAAGAGGGAGCAGCTTCCCGCAGCCGGAGTCCGCACTGCCCCTGATCTCCCCGGGGCCTGCCTCCCTGGGACCTGCTCGGGAGGGGGCGGCGGAGCCCCGGGCTTAGGCAGGCGAGAGCGAGTCTGGATACCTGCAGGCCACCTTCCTGCACCCTTGAGAGACTGGGTGGGGACGCAGGCGCTCGTTTAAGGTCCCCGGAGGGTACCAGCTCTGTAGGGGGACCACCGGGTGCCGGCGAGTTCATTGCTAGATACAGCAAGTGCTTTTCCCAGGGGTGGTGGAGTCTCCTCGTGCTCGTTTATAATAGCTCCATAAACTCACATTAGGACAAAACAAACAACAAAGTAACCATCGACCCACCCATCCTAGGGCCTTTCATTTCTACGCCCAGCAAGCCGGCATTGCAGCTGGGTACTTCTGAACTAGATTCCAGGTCACCTAAAGTACAAATAGGGAATGTTATGTGTTCCAGCCCGTATCGCCCTCCCTACCCATCCCTTTTTCCACCCTCAGTGTATTTACTATCCCGCTAGTTCGTCCCCACGGGCTGTAAGCCCACAGTGCACAGCGGCGCCGATCTGTCACCCCCGCCCCGCGCCTTATTTCATTTTTAGCATCCTGTATTGAAGTCAGCGGAGCTCAGCGCTATGTGACCGACAGTTACCTCTTGCTTTAAGCTCAAGAAAAAAAAAACCCCTTGCCGGGTGTCTGCGCATGCTCCGCTCTGCCAACTGCATCCTATGATTCCAAACAGGTTACTGTAGCGCATGCCGCGCCCGCCAGCTCATTATATAATGATTTCGTGTAAACCCAGAGAATGGGGCCGGGCGCGTTAAGGAGGCTGGTGGAGCAGGGGACAGCGGGGGCCTCACGGCCAGGTCCTGTCCCTGGGCTTGCTCTGCCTTTTTTTTTTACTTGGCTTCTTACAGATAAGAGGGGATGAAAAAAAACAGGAAAGGCAATTTCCTCCTCACAACATTTGCTCTGATGTGGTTGAGTGTTTGGGTCACACTTGGCAATTCTGCCTTTTACATCTGCCCACCTCTGGAATTCCTAAATTATGCGGACCATGGAAAATTAAGGAGATTATCACTGTTAGTTGTAAGTAAAGAAAGTTCCAGGTCTTTCAGGCGCTGGGTAACTCTTGAGGTCCTGTAACGCTGCAAGAGTGGCTTAAACATGTGGGAAAGAATGAATCTGAATGTTCTGAGGTACAGAGGCTTTCATGTCAAGATTGTTCGTATGTGATGCTGTGGTTGATACAGCCCCAGAACTCAAGCGTTTTGTTCTCACTCAGAGGTGCTAGTGGCTGGGCTCATTTTTTTTTTTCTTCCTAGGGAACTTTTTTTTTTTTTTTTTGAAAATCATTTTCCTCCCTGAAAACTTTGTACTTTTATTATTATTATTATTTTAAAAATTCTACTCAGGTCATAAACAATGGCACTGGAGAGCTCCCTAAGACCCTGAGGTTTGCTTTCCCATCGCCCTGGCTGTGGGGTTTAGCCCAGGCTGACTGGACAAGGGGAGAGTTTAAAGAGCAGCCAGTACCATCTGGGTAGTGGAGTCCCTGAGCTGGTGGGAGGGCTGGGCACGGGTTCCCAATGGGATCCTGGTATTCGAGGCTGTTGGAAGCCGGGTTTTGGTTTGGGTGAGGTTGGCATCCCCAGTAACCATGCAAGTGGCATCTGCCCTTCACTTAGTTGAGGGTGTGCTGTTTGGGTTGTTTTCCCGCAGGCAGTGGCCTTGAGAATTCTCCTCAGTACATTTTTCTCTAACGTGCCCAGGGTACCAGGGAAGGATCTGCCCAGGTGGGAACCAAAGCCAGTGCTGATAAGCTGAGAAGTGAGAGAGTGCGTGCCAGCACCTGGTACCTCTTCCCTTCCTCCCTTTCCCACACTGCTGCTGCTGCGTGTGTGTGCATGTGCGTGTGCATGTGCATGTGTTTCTGTAACTATGTTTCCCTGGGTAAATAGGCATCTCTATATGTTTGCATTCAAATTGAAACCAGCACCCCAGGAAATATGCTCACCAACAGCAGGCAGGATCACTCCAAACAGGGGCATTCAGCACCCCTGAATGGGTTTACTGTTACTTACCACTTATTATGCAGCACAAATTGTACGTGGAAGGGCGAGGTCAAGACAATGCTTCAGTAAGGTAGGGAAGCAATGAGGAGGAACCAGTGGGGAGGGAAGATATATTTCTTTCATTATTAATGAGCTCAGGAGGCTGAGGACGACAAGCTGTAACCTACATTGCTGGTTGCTCTCATCTGAGGGTGTTTCCAGAGAGCTGGTCTATTTCAGAGTGACAGCCACTGCCTCCCATCATACAGGATGCCGTGATTTTATTAATTGGGCGAGGCCGTGGACACCCTTGAAGGAAAGGTGGATGGATAGTGGTGTGCACAGCTTTGGTGTCAGCGTATTTGGGGGTGGGGTTGTATGGTTTTCTCTGTGTTTTTTGTGTGTGTGTGTGTGTGTGTGTGTGTGTGTGTGTGTGTGTATGGCTTTCCCTATAATGGACAGGGGCTGCGATGGCCAGGGTCACCTACAACTTGTCTGTTAAAAGCCAAGCACTGCTAGGGATGCTGGCTGGGACAGGGTGCAGGTATGGAAGCCACACAGAGCTGGACACTGGCTTGGCTACTCACTAACCGTGGGGTCCTGGGCAGGTCCGGCATCTTTCTGTGCCTTAGATCCGTCCTCCGAAATGGATGAGGGGGGAGATGATAATACCCCCTGCTGGAGGTGGGGAGATAGTAAGAGGCATAGTCTATGCAGCCTGGAGTTTAATGGGCACATTGTACTTGCTGAATCAATAGTCATTGTTTATAGGCACTTGCCTACTATGCAGGAGGCGCTATTCTTTAATACTTGAAATAGTGAGTCCTTGACTCTGGCTTCTCTCTCTCTCTCTCACTCCCAAATCACTTGGTCACCCAGCTTTGTCCTGCACAGCGCTGCACACCCCTTCTGAGTCTCTGCATCCTCTCCTGGTTGTTCTTGCCTCACAGTATTGTAACTAATTGCCTAAATTCTTGCCTGGGGCCCAATCTTGAACCGGAGTTTGCTGAGGCCATAGGCCAAGTTTGTGTGGCTGACTGCTAACCCCCAGGGCTTTATTTGGTGCTCAATTTGTAAATGAATGAGTGAGAAAAGATAGCCTTGGGCTCTGGAGGGGAAAGCCAGGCCCTCATCATAATACAAGCCAGGCATCCCCTACAGCGGTCCCGTCCCGGGTGGTTGGAGTAATGGTGTTCATTCCCGTGTTCATCAGAAAGGAAAGCTGTGACCTATTCCTGGGCCTCCTCAGGGGTTGACGCCTGTGGTGGGTTCTGGGGGAGGGTATGGATGGTCTGTGGCAGCCGGAATGCTGGGGTGGAAGTCAAGGGGGACCATCACTGGAGAGGTTGCTGGGTACTCCTCACCCACAACTGATTACAAGGCGATTCAGGATCCCAGGTTAGAGCCACACCTGCCAGCAGGATGTGGGCTTGACCACACGGTTAGCTTTTTCACTTGGGTGGTATGGTGAGGTTGAGAAGAAACCTGGGGGACCGGGCCTGGAGCTAACTGTCTTGCCCATTGCTCCCTCCACTATCCCCAAGGCCAGGATTTGGTGTTTCAAGGGCAATTATGGAGTTAAAGTGGGTTATAATCCTGGGACGGCAGCATGTGCCCCAAAGGACAAGATGGGTGGGCAAAGGGATGGCATTTGGTGCCTGCTCTGGTGTCAGAGCTGAAGGTACATAATTTCTCCCCATCAGCCAAAGCCAAGAGCGTGCTGAGCTGTGGCAGGGTCTGCTATACTCCTTCAAGAGGCCCAGACACAGAAGGCCGGGGCAAGCTCAGAGGCAGAGGTGGCACCCTGTAGCTGCCTCTTGGGAGCTGGAGAGGCACACTGTCATGCCAAGCCTCTGAGGAGCCCCGATGTTGGGCCAACACAGACCTTCCCTGGTTTCTGGCGTGAACAAACCTACTTATGTTTGCATTTGAAACATTTCACATGCTTGGTGCCAGAAGCAAACCAGGCTTAATTTTGTCAGTTTTATTCTGCACTTTAATTTTTATCCACAGAGTGTTATAGTCAGTATACTGGCTGAGTTTTTATTTGGGTAAGCTTTCCAGGGGTAGGAGATGCCTGAGACGTGTGTGCATGCATGCACGTGTGCACCCGTGCCTTTTTCTGAAATGTCAAAGCAACATTTTCAAACATCACAAGAACCAGAAACCCCTATGCCCACATCTGCCCATCCCTCTGTGCTTTAGACATTTGAAACCACCAAGCCCTCTAAGACTTGTGGGCCCTTAAATACCACGATGGAAAAAAAGGCCAGGGCTTCAGGACACAGTCAGGTGCCCTCAGTAGGGCATTCCAATACGGGGACGGCTTGTTTTGGCCACATGAGTTACTAGGTTTATAAGAATATTTCTCATCTACTCTCAAGTTTTGTTTTGGATGTTTGATTAGAAACAATTATGATCCAAAAGCTATCAGCTCTAAAGCAATGGCTAACAAACCTATGGGGAAAAAAAACCTCAAACAACAGCACCACGGTGTGTCCCCAGTCCTCCCGCAGTCACAAGGGCCCGAGTTACTCCAGACGGTTATCCATGGCCCCTTCCAATCAGGTCAACTGCCTTCAGCAGTATGAAGAAGCGTTGCCAGAGGCCCATGCTTTGGGACTTTTGGAATGTTCCCTCTTTAAAAAATATATATATATGTGTGTGTGTGTGTGTGTTTTATTAATTTCAGAGAGAGGAAGAGAGAGAGAGAGAGAAATATGAATGATGAGAATCATTGATCAGCTACCTCCTGCACGCCCCCTACTGGGTGGGAATCGAGCCTGCAACCTGGGCATGTGCCCTGACCAGGAATCGAACCATGACCTCCTGGACCATAGTCAGTGCTCAACCACTGAGCCATGCCGGCTGGGCTGGAATGTTCTCTCTTGATTCAAGAGACAGCTAGAGAAAGCACAGTATAATATTTTCCCACCCCAGGGTTCCTCTGGGCTTTGGCGGGGCCTGAAGCATATTGATTTGCCCACGGTCACCGAACCTTTAGAAAAAGATATCTTTTTCTTCATATTGTTTTAATAGAGTAAAAAGCGGTGCCTAGAGATAACAGATTCCTCGAGGTGAGTTTGCTTCTCTTGCCAAAGTCACTTTGTGGTGTAAGAAGCAATGACCTTGAGCCCAGGGGTCAGTCCCCGGCACTCTTTTCCCGCTGCGGCTTCTAACCTCTCCTGGCTCCCCCGTCTTTCCAGAACGCCAGCAGCTATTCTGCAGCGATGACCATGACAGAGCCCAAGTCAGTGTGCGTCTCGGTGGATGAGGTGGTCTCCAGTAACGTGGACACCACCGAGAAGGACCTGCTGAACGGGCACCTGAAAAAAGTGGACAACAACCTGACAGAGGCCCAGCGCTTTTCCTCGTTGCCTCGGAGGGCGGCTGTCAACATTGAATTCAAGGACCTTTCCTACTCGGTCCCCGAAGGACCCTGGTGGAGGAAAAAAGGTAGGGAGGAGGCTGCTGTGTGCGTCCGGAGGCGGGAGGGACCTGGGAAGGAAGCGACAGGCTGTTTGGGAAAAGCTAGGCCTGGCAGTTTCTGGCAGAGCCTCCTTCCCACTGTCACTGCCCCACTGTCACTGCCGCGGCCGGTTGACCTCATTGCTCGGTGCCTGGTTTTCCTCACCTATAATGTGAACAGGCGGATTAGATGATCCAAGGTTCGCAGTGGCTCTTAACTCCTGATGTGAGTACAGAGAATTTACAAAGGTCGGCCAGAGCCCACGCGTGCTGGTTTCTGGAGTGCACTCGGAGGGCCCCCTTTACTGGAGGCTGTTTACGTTAGTCTTTCAAGATGGGACTATTTTTTAATGTTTCAGAGCAAAATGGAAGACGAGGGCTCCCTCCCAGGTTTGAAGTGTTACAAGGTAGCCGGTGACTTAGCCTGACCCCTCGAAACCAATCATTTACGTTTAAAGATCTTTAAAGGACTCTCATGGGTGGCGTTGATGGGATATTAAAAAAACGTAAATTGTTGTCAAATATACCATAGAGATAAAAGTAGAAGAGATAGGGAAGAGGGAACGCGAGGGCTCTCTGGAAAGCCATACAGTCCAGGAGTTTGCCACAAGCTGGTTGCATGTGAACCGGAATTGACAAATGATGGTATTTTAAGTTTTCTTAGCAACCTGGATGCTCCTTTGTCAGCTCTAGATTTTCAGAGTGTGTGGAGTCAGTGCCCCTGGGTTGGTATTTCTGACCTATTCCTATGGCACTTACTCACCTCCCTCTGCTCCGGGCACCCATCCATCATCCCCCCACCGGGAGAGGACACTATACGTCATCAAGAAACGATGGTCCCTGGTTTCTAACGAATCATTTAAAACACCTTGAAAATCTATGAGGTATTTGGGACAATGAAAGTGACCTGCATACCACTGGAACATTGTAATTTTTAAATCCAGATCTGACCCTTCTTATTTTTAGAAAAAGACCGACCAAGACACTTTTTAACTTTTCTTTCTCTTTCCCCACTCTATTACATTTGTTTTCCTCCTCTCTTGAAGCTCAGCGTTGAGGCTGTTGGCATGGGCACTCGGGACTTCTTGGTCACCGGGATTTTAGAACCTGGGCTGAGTGGTCGCTGGGACCTGCCAGCCAGGTTGGCTGTTGGGTGACTTCATGTCTGTTTGCACAACCAGCAGCAGATCCTAAACCTTCTCACCCGCTGGTTGTACAGCGTTGTTATCTGACACTTACATTTTCACAGTATCCAGCCTGTTTTGTTAAGAAATTCTATGACAGGCTCAGGGTGGGGCTCATTCATTTGAGCCTATTGAAATTTCAACATAGGGTTTCAGCCTTTTTCTCCTGAACTTGACAAAAGCTTTTACCGAAAACATGCACCAGGCGACCTTGTTATGGTTGGCTTGGTTTGTCTGTGTAGACAAACTGTAGCAAACCTGTGGGCAGCATAGATCAGCTTCTGTCCCTCTGACACATGTGGCCTTAGAATGTGTCCTGATGGTTGAAAACGCTTGGATGGCTCCCCTTTAAGGGAAGATAGCTCGCAATGCAGAAATGCAAACATCTGAAAACTGTGGCAGAATCTTGGCTTGAAACCCAACACAGCAGGTACTCAACCAACATCTGCAAGTGGAGAGTATCATCTCCCAGTCAGGTGTATGGCTTGTCCACCCCGTATTCTCTGAATGTTAGAACTAGTCACACTAACTGTCCAACGTCCCCAACCCTGATGGGTCTTAATCAGTGAGGGAGGGGCCGCCACTTGGAAGTTCAGCTCAAGTGGCTGCTAGATAGACACTTGCCCTATAGTAACCCCTGTGGGCTCCAGAAGGGAGGCGGAGGCAGTGACCCCGGAGGGACCGCCCAGGAGTCTGCTGTGGTTAAGGCCAGAGGAAGCTGGGCACCATGGGGCTTCTGTATCCCAGCGGCAGTTTGTTGCCCAGCAAGGGCCAATTTCTGGCTTCCTCCCAGGCCCCCTCCTTAGCAGCAGCACCTGTGTCTGCCCTTCCCCCACTGTGTGCACCATCATTTCTTTTGCTCTTGGTGCCCTGCAATTCAGAATTTAGATGGGTTTTCACTCCAGCATAAATTCAGGGTGGGAAATACTTGTCCACCTTCTCACGAAATACAAGGAAACCGAGTGGTTAAGGCTTGCCCATGTGGCCCAGCTAACCAGGCAGGCCTGGGACTGGGGGCAGTGATTTCTGACCCTGCAGTCTGCCTTGGGCCTTAGGGGTACCAGGGGCTCTGTAGCCACAGGGAAGCAGCGCTTTCTTTCCCAGGCTTGGTTCCCATGGGGCCTGCTCTGCTGCTGCTTGCTGGATTGGTTGCCCCACCAGACTAGAGGCCGCACCCAGGGAAGCCTAGAGTTTTCCTGGATAAGGGGAGTTCGCCACTGAGGTTCATCTCAGTGCCCACTGCGTCCCCTCACCAGCAGACTCCCCAGTGCTACATCTCCAGTGAGCTTGTAACTTGCAGGCCATATTTCCCCAAAAGAACCACCCCCAGGACGAACAGTACAAGCCAGCATTGAGTCTGGGCCCAGGCACTGGGCTGACACCTGTGAATTCCACCTGTACCTTTCCCACCAGGTTCACCGTCCCCCTGCTTGCTTCCCAGCCCCCCTCAGGTCTGGCTACTTTCGCTCAACGTGCCTTTCTCCCTTTGTCCCTCTCACTGCTGGCAATTGTCTCTGTCCCCAGCAACAATGAGGTTGAGCTGAGAAGTCGGCTGCCAGCCTCTCTCTCATTTCCCTTTTTTCTCGATGTGCAACTGTGTATTTGGCACCACCTCAGTGTGACACCAAGTGTGACCGGCCTTTGGGGAAGGAGGTCTTTCTCTTACCTCTCTCACCATATCAGTTTTGCTGTCTCTATCAATCTGTTTTTAATTGTTTAAATTCAGCCTTACATGTGGAGCTCACTGTAATGGCCACACTGGGGTTGGGCGCCCAGGCATCGCGCAGGAGAGGCGCATCTCTGGATGTGAGAGCTGTGAGAGCTGTAGCTCCTGGCTGCATAGCGAGGGGAAGAGAGCTCGAGAGCAGAAGGTCAGAGCCAACGCTGGGCTCTGGCTGTCTGACTCCCAGCCCAGCTTTCTTTCCATCTCAAAACCCCAGGACAATGCCAGTAAATTCCAGGGAAGTCTTTTTCTCACATAATTTCAGCCAGAACATGGTGCAGGACACCGACTCGACACAGAATCCTATAGCAAGGCTTGCACTGTGATCAGAAGGGTCTTATAAACTCCTACGTAATTATTTTAAAGAAAGAAGGCAGAACGTCATAGTCCTTAGCACAAAGGTGTGAGTGGTCAATGGCTTGTTGCAGGAGGAGGGGTCGGGCACTGGTTCTTCGACGTTCTTGAGCTTGACTGTTGCCAAGCAGTGATTATGGCATTGCACAAAGCACCTCGTATTTTCAATCGTAATTACATTTTCACCATATGATTAATGATGCCTTTGGAGGAAAAACTAGATCATATAATAGATTCCTAGTAGAAAGGAACCATTCCCCAGAGAAAAAAGTACGCCCCAAGGATGATTTCATGGGCTTCTCACAGTAATTACTATCCCTTGAGGAATTCACAAACGTAGCAGCATAAGTTGACAGGACGAAAGATTTGGAACAATATGGACTCTGGTGCCAGCACACAAGCTATTGTGTCGGGGACCCCACCTGAACAATCTAGGTTGGTTGTTGTCACTGAGCCCTTTGGACGGCAGCTTCTGCTTCCTGTAGGCAGACACTGTTGGGAGCGTTTAAGACCCGCGCTAAGAGAACCCGCATCCTGAACTTCTGAGATGATGTGGGTGGTGAGGACTGACACTTACATAGCACTTTCTGGCTTTCGGGGCTCGTCACACAGGGGCCTCTTTTTATTAGGATGTAACTGGTCACAATTTACAAGTGGAATGCGCGGGGTCCTATGGATAGTGCTGACCCCCCAAAGGAGACCGGAGCACTTTCCATTTGTGAAATTAAGGCCGGTCCTGGGCTCAGGGGCTAATTCTGCCCTTTGTACCCATGGACTACATGAGGTTCAGAGACATATCCCGGGTCACCGGAACACACAAGGTGGGACGTGACAGCAGGTCTGTGGGATTTGAGGCTAAGGTCCAACAAAGAACCCAGTAGGCACCTGGCCCTGAGGAGGGCGCACCACTGGACCATCCACCATCACATGGATGGGCGGCACCCCGTTTTACGAAACTATTAGTGATTGCCTTGACAATTCCAACTGATTTCCCTTTTAACTGACCTGTTTTGATGTCAGTCACCTCTGCCATTCATAAGGAATCTCCTGGTCCTTTGGACAGTCTCCAGCTGTCCTGTCCCCTCATCAGGGAAGGGAGGCCAAGGTGCATGGCATGCTGTCACATACGCAGGTGACATGATTCTCAGAAATTAAGCACCCTTCCCAGGATTACCTTGTGATGATATTCAGGTTGAGAACAAAAGTAATCGTACCTGGGGCTTTAGCGAGTTCTCTCCACTAATCCTCAGCCAGGCTGCTGTCCCAACATGGTAACTCTCCGCGGGGATGAAACAGCATCTCCTCATTTGGAACCCGACCCTCCAGCCTCTTCCTTGCCAAAAGCCAGGGAGGAGTCAAACAATCTGGGCAGCCCCCCCCTTATCTGTATTGGTTTGCATCTAAGCTCTAGAAATGTGTTTCAACACCCTTCTCAAATTCAAGTTTGCCTTCTCTTAATTTCCATAGCTATTTCCCAGGGCCTGTGATGACAGGCTGGTTAAAATGAGTGGAATGTGCCTTTAATAAATGCCTTTCAGGAATTCCATTAAGGGAAGACTGGAGTCGAACCAAGTGCCAGTGACTTGATCCAGCCCAGTGGGGCAGGGATGGGAAGGGTGGCCAGTTAGAGGGGATGGCAGCAATCCCAAGGCAGCGATGGGGTTTCAGGGGGAGGGCTGCCCAGGTTCGGAAGGGGTTTCTACTCCCCCAGCCTGAATGGATTTACT